AGATTTTTGACATGAAGAAAAGTATTTTTAATCTTATCATGAAAATCACTGTACATGGACTATTAAAAACAAATACTCAATATATTCATGGAAAAACCTTTATTTTAGTTTATTAAAAATACTTCACTAAGAAATATGATTTTTTGTATGTGAAAGACTTATATTAAGTGAAAGACTGCCAAATTTTGTGAAGATATACACATTATATTGGATGTTAGAAGTATTCAATTTATAAAGACTTTAAACGAGTACAAAGAGGTCACGTGGTCAGTCAAATTGACTGACCCTGTGTTGAGAGAGTTAAGCCATGGCATACTGTGATTAATTTAACAGCTACATGTAAAAACCTTTAGTTTTTGTAAACTCACTTTCAGGAGAAAAGACACCTTTTTTTTGGCATTCTTTTACAGACTTTTTAAAATTTATTTACTATGCTATTTTATTCAAGTCTGTTACCTATGCTGATTATAAATCACAATAAGATATGAAAGATACATCAAGAACATTTTTGATGTGCCTTTTAATCATGGAAATATCACCCTCCGAACATGGGATCTCTGATGAGATAATAGTCACATTTTCAGTACAATATTTACCAGAAAGTGATATAGAGAAATAACATATATTAGAAATATATATACAAGGAATTATGTTTTTCTTTAGTTCAAAATATGCATATTTATGTTAATATAACCACAAGTAAATATCTTATTTAGTACCAAAATGTAAGGGGAGCTTTATTAGCTAATTGGGTCCCATAATAGAGAAACTTTACTGATAAAATCAATAAATAAAATATGCATTAGACATCCACAGTAGGATGTCCAATTGTTTTCTATGTGTGTGTGCTACAAAGCATTGAGACGTGATGAATTTACTTGTCTGTTGGGAAGAGTTTATGTGTTAGGTTATTGTGATTTCAACCAAGTTACTGCTTCTGATTCTGAAACGCCAAAGTTTTCTGACAGCTCTTTGCATTGATGGATTAAGGGTAGCTTGGGCTTCAGGCAGTAGGAGAAGAAAAGTCCCCCCCCCCTCCCATCATAGATATATTGATCTCCAGTGAACTGAGTCGACTTCACTGTCTAAATCATAATGTTAAGCATATACATGTGAGAACATTTTAATGATATACATAGCCTTGTAACACTTAAAACAATATACACATTTTATTCACTCATGAATGATCATAAAGACAACTTGGTTAGAACCTGCATGTACCTGTATAAAGATAGAATTGTCTTTTTGTGGCTTTATTATAACTGAACTTGTCTATGAGTTTCAAAAAATCTAACTATTGCAGTATGTTACATTCTATGTCATTATAAACAGACTGTTTAGTCAGCTTTGTCCTATTCTGTTCCTGAGCTCCCTTCTTATTTGTTTCAATTCTGAAAACAATTGCTGCAGTTTGATACCCTGTGGATAAGTGTATTCTCAGCACTATCTCAACATTAGGAAATGTTTGGAAAAGGCATATCTATGAAGAAAGAGGAACATTTTTAACTCCACTGATTCAGTGGGTTCAGATTGTGTGAATCAATTTATTTTCTATCTCAGTTTCAGCATTGTTTGTTTGGAAAATAACAGACAAGATGTTTTGCAGCTTGGCTGATTTCTTGATATGAAAGAGATGATAATTTGGAAGGGAATCCAATTTTAGTGGCAACATCCTTATATGCATCAAGACGGTATTTCAATATAGTGACAAGTTGGTTGAGTGCAAAAAAGACTTCATTTCTGAATTTATTCTTGGGTGATAATATAGTATCCTCTGCATCTTCATCATCATGGCAACAGTTGCGCATTCAGATGCGCTTCTAAATTGAACTATACTCACAACGACCACATAGCTCAGCAACTTTGTCTTTGAATTCATCAAACTTTATTCTCCAATCTTCAACTATTTAAGTTATTTAAAGTTAGATTAGGTAAAATAAATATTAATATGATAGAAATATTTCATGAGAAACACTAGCAAGTAGCTTATGCATAGTGTAATTCGAGAGCATAGCATAAGCTGCACGTTCATCAGTGATTTATGACTTATAATGGCCCCAATAGTGGTTAGACATGGTTCATAGGACAATAAAATAATGAAATTTAAGTATAAATAGATGTATACTGTTATGAGTTTATAACTGTTTAGGGTAAACAAATGTTACAGTTTGAAGTAATTCTAGAAAGAAAAAAGGGGTAATTTAGATTTATTTAAATTTATTTGGTGGTTACAAGTTCAGTTAAATTGACCTGTATAGAGTTAGGGTAGAGGAAATAACAGATAAAATATGAAGTTTATAAAAAATGTTTTAAATTTATTTAGGAGGTTTTAAAGATCATACAATTGAAATTTGAGACTTTGCACTCAGAATAGTAACAAAAAGTATATATTCATGGACAAATCTTTAGTAAAAATACTTTATTGAAAAACAGATTTTTCGTGTGCAAATGACTTGTAATGTATACTAAATGTCTGCCAAATTTTGTGAAGATACACATAATGTATTAAAAGTTATAGTATTAAAACTATACTTGTACAAAATGGTCACATGGTCAGTTCTTGGGACAGAGACCATATTGAGAGAATTAACATTATAAGATATTTATAAATTTCGTCTGATTTATAATTTTTTTCCATTTCTGTATGGGTCCCCTCTTAGACCATGGGCCCCTGGCGGTTGTTCAAACCGCTCAAGCCTTAATCTGTCACTGGCTCTTTGAAACAGTCAGGTAGAGTATACTTGTATATCATTTTCACTCCTCAATGTCTGACCCTTGGTTGTCAAATTCACAGTGTATTACTAGTACTGTTATTGTGTAGTATGGTGCTTTTACTATAAACTACAAATTTGTTTGCTGTATTACTGGTCCCAGTCCAGTTGTATTATGTACTGTATCACTAGCAAAAACTTCTCCATCCCACTATGCACTGTGTAACATTTTTGTCTTGCTCTACAATGCTATCATAGCTAAGTTGTTTGCTGCTGCTTATTCTCCTTAGCAAACAGCTGGGTCACATAGTATTTTATCTCATAAATTAATGGAAATTTGTATATGTGGGTGGTGGTCTTCTAACTGTGTGAGCATCTGCTTAGCTGAAAATTTGTAAGATAACCACATTAACCACACCACAATGAAAACACGTTTTGATTTCATCTTTATGAGTGTTACTATTTTTCTCATAGTACTTAGCACCACAGTTAAGATGTCTTGAACCAAACCACACATTCACTGCCTTCAGCTGATTATTGGAAGGGAGTTGCCCAGTAAAAAAATCAAATGAAGAATAAACAACCCAGCCACAGGTAAACCTAAATAATTCAGAATACCAATAAATGAGAAAATGAAAGAAAAAAGAATAAATAAATAAAAGGATTATGTTCCCTAACCATACAAAATTAAAAGCAACCTGTCCTCCTGTGAATGTGAAATGAAAGGTAGCAAAGCAAGGGCTCCATGTTTAATTATCATAGAAAGAAAACTGATTAAAACACTACATTTAAGAAAAATATACGCAAACAGAAGTAACCTTCAGTCACCTAGAAGTTGGTTTTTCCTGTCACAAGAAATAAGGATTCCCTTTAATGTAAAACAATGAGCCTGGACAAATGTAAATAAATAAACAAAATCTTTATTTTAACAAATGTTTTAGAATTTTATTGGACTACAACTGCCTGTTGTATGAAGACGATTTTTTGGCTTCTTTACCGAGGCCTTCTTCAGGTCACTGTAGGTACTTGTGTAGGGTCTTACAAAGGTTAGCACATTTGTGTGATAAAGCTCAGGCTGTGTGGGTTGAGTGGGTGTTGTCAGTAGAAATGTGATGTCATCATAATAATCTGTAGAGTTTGTTGAGAGTGGTTGTCCACAGGTCACTGATATGCAAATCGTTGTCTCTGTTGAGTTCAGGTTGGTGTAGTTTGATATAAGTAGCTTTTTTGACATTTCTTAATTTTCAGTGGCGAACTTTAAATTAAGTTAGATATTGATCCCAGTTTATATGTCCTGTTTTGTAGTTATGTTCAACCAGGGCCGGCCCAGCATGGCCAGGTGGTTAGGGCGCTCGACTCGCAATCTGAGGGTCGTGGGTTCGAATCCCCGTCACACCAAACATGCTCGCCCTTTCAGCTGTGGGGGCATTATAATGTGACAGTCAATCCCACTATTCGTTGGTAAAAGAGTAGCCCAAGAGTTGGCGGTGGGTGGTGATGACTAGCTGCCTTCCCTCCAGTCTTACACTGCTAAATTAGGGACGGCTAGCGCAGATAACCCTTGTGTAGCTTTGCACCAAATCTATAACAAACAAAACCAACCAAGGCCAATATATCTGGATGAGTTAGTCTAATTGTGTTTTTAATCGTTGTTCTATCATTCAGTTAATTACTCCAGTGTAATTGTCGCTGCATGAACATGGTACTTCATAGATTAGTTCTTTTTGTTTAGATTTGTTGGTTGGTTATAAAAGCTGTGATTGTATTAAATGTTGTAATTATATAGTACTGCAATTAACAAGTGTACATGTTTAAAAAGTATTATTAGTTACATAAAGAAATTATGTGTGGTACAAGAATCCTTTTGAGGTGCAATACTGAACTGCATAGCCTAATGATCAGGACTTAGAAATCAAGTTTAATGTTTGCCTATATAAAACAAAATGTTTGAATACATACTTTTTAATAGCTGAAATGTTTTTCCTACAGAGGACATTCTGGCTGAAAACAAGGGAGAGTGTGTAATTTGTCTGGAAGACCTTCTTCAAGGAAATACCATTGCACGTCTTCCTTGCCTTTGTATATATCACAAAATGTAAGATCTTTGTGACAGATTTGCACCTTAAGCATTCTGTGCATATTTTATCCTACTGTTTTAAGATGTTAAAAATAATAATTATAGTGTATTGTTCTTTTGTATCATGTTCTTCAAAGTACTTGTTTTAAGTATTCAGAAACATGGCCTTAAAGTCTCAGTTAGCTGGAATAAACATGTATCATTTTATGGTAAAATGTGAGTGTTTAATGAATAAAATTAAAATATCTTTTTTAATAAGGAAAGATAAAAATTTTCATAATCCAAATCACCATTCAATATTGCAGGAACAAATATTCAAAAATAACCATTAGTATGTTAGCCAAGAAAACATTAAATTGAAATAATACAATAAAAGAATGTGATGGCAGCAAAGAAGCTAAATATTTTGTTGATGGTTTTTGCTACAAAAAGTATTGATTAGTAATGTGAAATTTTATATTTTCAGGTGTATTGATGAGTGGTTCCAAGTCAACAGGTCTTGTCCTGAACATCCTAATGACTGATGTTTGTTGATGTTAGGAGGCATTTCAAAGAAAATTTGTTTATGTTTGTCATCTTCAGAGGTGGACTTCCAGTTTGTACATGAAATCGACTGGTTGAAACAAGTAGAACTTTTCTCTGCCAAACAAAGAAAAAAAAGTATTGTTTTGAGTGCTGTGCCTTTGTAGTATAATAGTAAATAGTGTAAAAGCCACCTTTTTCCAAGCTGCTGTAGTTTGTTTTTCTCTGTTTTAATTGCAAAGTTACATCTAAATAGTTATAGTTGATGTCCAGTTGAGATGCCAGATTTTCATTTTGTAGACTGGAATCTTTTTCTGTATCATGTATTGTTTTCTGGCTACCTCAGAAAGGAAAACAGTTTTTGTTATACAGTTTATGCTACTACAAGTTTTATAGTGTGTAGAACTTTACTATTAACAGTTTTGTATATTAAATTCTTAGTTAAGCATTAGAAGTTTTGTCATTAGATTCCAGTAAATGGAAATTAATTTGGATAATGTTAATATCATGCAATTTGTGGAGGTTTCCTGTATATTATTATTATTACATGTAGTAGAATTCTTTATTGTCCTTTCTTGTGAAATATCTTTTTTAAACTTCAGTGTGTAGTAAAGTGTATAAAAGGATGCTGATAAGCATTCTTTTCTGAATCAGTTAATACTACCTTTGATGTTTATTATTAGTATTATCATTGTATTTGTTTAGGTGATGTCTGTCTTCATTTCCACACCATGCTGTGGCCATAATTTCCATATGTTTTTTTGCATAATGTAATACTTCTTTGTATTTTAGCCTCATTATTGAATTAAGTAATCATTTATAATTTTAACTACTGAACCTAAAATATCAATTTTCACCATTAATTCAGTTTACAACTTGAAGTAATACTAAGTACAGTTTTGAAATCATAACTTTTCCAGTGGGTACCTTCTTATGAAAAATCATACAGTAGTAATTGTAAAAGGGGCCAATGAGATCAATTTTTTTTTACACTATATTTTATTTATTTTCGGAAACTTAAGCCATAATCATCTGATATTATAATGAAATATAGCTTGTACATGGCAAATTATGGGGTGTTAAGTTATTAACTCCACCTTTGTAAAACTGTATATTTTATATTATTCTAACCAAAAAAATTTATATTTATAAGCTTGTATACAATTAAAAATTGATATTTAAAATTTCCAGAACAACATTGGCATTCATGGCTGGCTGAAACAAATACATGGACACATTTAGATTTTTTAATAAACATACTATCTCACATTAGGAAACGAAAACAAAACCTTCTCCAGCCAAAAACTGCAACTCCAAGCAATATCAACGCTCTTTAGATCAACTAGTCTTTAGATTTAGATGTTTGAGAGTTGTATAAGTAAAAAAGTAAACCAACATCTCTTATGCCTTTTAGTTTTGGAAGAAATTTTGAGAGCTTAATGTTTTCATGTTTTTTTATTATTTTTTTTGGTTGTTTGTTTAGTACATCCAGAAAGTGTTTTTTTAGCTTTGTGGGTTTCATTACAATAGTGGTTCATTATAATACTTACATAGTTAACTATCCAAAGTTGATTGGCCTCATGAGTGTATACTAAATGTACATTGGAATACATTTTTTGCATGATAAAGTTCCCTAAACTCACTTTAGAACTCCCAAAATTTTCGTTGGATATAATGTTAATTTTTTTTATTGTAGCTAAACACTGATCTCTGCACATTCTTGTTGTCAATGCAGCATATGGACAATGGAACTTCTGTTTTGGGCCTTGGAATACTATTACTCTTCAAGTATGTCATTACCAGACTAATGGATTGTGTTTAGAATTAGTTGCACTACCCCAATAAAATTATTTTCATAAAATGGCGGCTTCATTCTCAGATATTTGAGTGGCTGTGTATTTCAATAACAATTTTCCATTATTTTGGCATTTTTTGTTAGATCCTCTTGTGGTAAGAGTAGAATTCCTTTAGGATTGTCCCCTCATATTCATGCATTAGGGTCTATATTAAAGTTTAATTTATCATGTATTGTGTAATTTTGATAGTTAGTCATACAGTTCATCGTATTTTGTGTAATTCTGATATTGGTTGTGCAGTTCATCACATATGTAATTCTGATAGAATGATGTGTGGTTCTGAATTACATAATGCACAATTTAGAGATGGTAATTTCTGTCTTCCTAATAATAAATAAGATTCTGCTTGACTTAGAGGAACATATTTTCACAGGACTTCTGAAGTATAACATCTTAGATCAAGATGGAGCCTTCCAATTAAAATGTTGCTAAAGAGTTTTTTTTTTAATCAATCACAGTACACGATACAAATTATATTGGGAAAAAACATCATACAATTATGGTTAGCATAGCTCTGCTTTTGTCTGTAATGAGTTGTGCTACTATATTATACATATTCCAAAATCAAAGTTTGCCAATTGGATTGTGTAGTTTAGAAAAATCATTAGTAAAAGTTCTGTCACTCAATTTTAGATATATATATATATATACATTCTCTTGTATTTTATGAGGTCTGGGTATTGTTGTTGTCTTATCTTTCCATGTTCAGTCATGAGCTTCACTTCTATTTTATTTATTAATCCAGATACTCCTTTTATATTTCTCTTTGCACCAGTAAAGGATCAAGGATGCAGTGATGGGCAAAGTATTGAAAATATTTACTTGAATAAAAGTCTTGTTGCATTAGAAAATATTCACTCAAGTAAAAAGTCAAAATACCTGTTGTTGATGACTACTTAAGTAAAAGTAAATAGTACCGAATATATACAGTACTTAAGTAGCAATAAAGTGAAAAGTATCAACAAAAAATAAGTAATGATAGCATTTTTAAAAATAGCCTACATTAGACTTAAATTCACTCATAAAAGGCATTAACAAATATAAACTCAACAAACTTTATTTTGTTTTTATTAAAACAATGAATATTACTATCTATGGTATAGGTCTTCACACACTCCACTTACTATTTAGCTTCAGCAGCATCTGATTTTCAAAGTTCCTACTAGACAGATTAGCTCATCTTGGTGTGAACAAGAGTCCTACAGAACTAAACAAATGCTTGCATGCTGCAGAAGCAGGCAAGGGAATATTTGCAATAATTGAAGCCTTTAGGATAGATGAGAAACTTTTCAGAATCTCCATGCTGACTGAAGTGTTTGTCATGTACCCATCTAACTCTCTGATCTCACTATGGGTACAGGTCTTCAGAAACAAAATCTTCATCATCCGATGAGCTGTTGTGGGGATCGATCCTGATCGAGAATGTCTGTCGATGCTTCTTCTTCCTGTCTGATGTACTCCAGATCTGACATGGAAATAATTAGCTTTATCGGGGAGAATATACATAACAGAGTTCAATACTACACAATAAATGTGACACAGAAACTGTATTTACTAATAGTATGAATTTGATAACCAGGAATTTTGATTAAATCTCTCCTTGGGCAGGTTAGGTTCTATTAGCATTATTCATTTTTGTAATGTAAATTGGTATTACTATAAACAAATGCATGGTTTTGAACTATTAAGAATCCTAATAGCAAAAATTTATAGTACATATTTCCATTAACAATGAGCAATGACATGCTAAAAAAGAAGAAAGAGAAAGTAGGATCACATTCTCTAACCTTTTTTGATGATTCTATCATCTTTGATCCATGTAGTCTTGAATCTCAGCAACAAGATTACAACAGCAATCAGCTCTGCATCCTCCATCACGTGGCCAAAGCAGTTCTTGATACCAGATTCCACAGCACTTACAAGTGATGTACAGGGCTTGGTTGAGAGCTTGATCTTTCCTAGCTTTGTCAGCAGCAAGTAGATTATAGGCAGTAGCCACCCCATCTGTGTGTTTTTCTCTGATTGTATGATGTCCAGTGCCTTGGCCACTGGTTTCATAATGACATAGTACTCTGTCAGGAATGCCAGCTCCACAAGATTTAACCTGTCAGTTTACATAATTTTAATCAAATACTCTAATATAAAACAACTTACACAATAAGAAACAAAAATAGAATCATGCTTTAAAAAAGATTGATTAGTAAATTACAAAATATGTAGGAATAGAAAATGCAGTATAGGAAATGTCATAACTGTTTACAGTGATTCATTCGGATAATACCAATTCTAGATTCAGCTGGATAGAACGTAGCAGTACCAAGATGTCAAGTATAATTATTATTATTATTTAGCACTAAAATAGCCACAAGGTAAAAAGAATACTATAATAATCAATATGTTACTCACATTTTTATCTTAAATTCAGCTCAAACGTTCCTGACGGAATCTTCCCCTTTCTCATTGCGAATCTGCAAGATCCTCTCCACAACCAGGGACAGAGAGTATCATCGAGTCTGATTAGGGCAAATAAACTATAACTGACATTGATCATCACCAGTTTCTGAGACTACTGCTGATCGCCCAGTTTTGTTCCAAAGTGTTGATCTTGAAAGCTTTTTATAGCAAGTGTCATTAGATTCGGCCTCCCTGATAACCACAGTTGATGCTAGATTCAACAAGTGGAAAGCACAGTGTTGATGTGTTGGGAGCTGGTACTTGAGGCTTTCGTCCTTCTCTAGAATGTTCTTCTTGATCTTAATTCATTTGTTCCATGGTTTCATTATCTTGTGAATGGCATTCCCAGTTCTCTACTGCATTGTCTGCTCCATACACTCTAAAGGCTTTGATGAAATTCAAGCCATTATCAGTGGTGATCTTGAGAATCTTGTTCTTAATCCGAAACTCAGAGTGAATGTCATTTAAGATACTGGCCAAGACATCAAAGGCAATTGAGTCCTTTAAACACCTACTTGCCAGTTCAGCATATTATCTTTCTAAAATCAAGGTAGCTGCATCTCCTTCCTCTCCAGCAGTCTCTTCATTCATTGCATTGATCGATTATTTGTTCATAGATTCAGCAGCGTCATTGATCTTTGAGCAAACAGTCTCCCTTGTAATGAGGTTGTATGAAGGCTGGAGTCCATGAACAAGCTGTTGGAATGCTGGTAACTTGATGCTGAATGGTTGAAGGCTCTGAGTGATTAATTTAATCACAAGCTTGTTGATTGCCTCTTTTGTTGTAGTCCTGAATACTGCATGGGACATAATCTTGGGCTGCTTGCTCGACGAGGAAGAATCTGTTTTCTCAGTCTTCCTCTTCTGAGCAGTTAACTCAGTGTACCTCTGGAGCTGAAGTTAGTGGATGCACTGATATTAGTGACATATAGCAAGACAAGTCTTTTTCTGTCTGTTTATTTTAGCAAATATAATTTATTCAACCTCAGGTTATTTTGCTTGACTTTTCACATTAAGTGAGTTAAACTACTATTAATGCAACTATGTTCCCTTCCTAGAAAATGGTGCTCCCCTATGAAGTACATTTTGATGATGCCCCTATATATATATATAATATACACACACACACATATACAAACATATATATATATATATATATGATGCAGAAACATTTTGATTTTGATAAAAACAGGACCTATTTTTCAAAGAATGATTTTTGTTACAAATTGATGTATGAGTTGAGTTTCACCAACTTTGGCTTACAAAGGAGATACTGCAACTTTACTGAATTTCCCACTATTATTTTTAGTGAAAATAAGTCTTTCAAATAAGGCTGCAGATGATTATTTGTGTCAGACATGATGGTCACAGCAGGACAAAGTTATCACAGTCAACACTAGATGTAAGATGGCTGCATTTTGTTTTTGCTCAGCAGTTCAAGAAATACCATCACTTGTGATTGTCTTATTTGGTATAGTAAAACAAAAAATAGAAAAAATTTATACCTCAGAAAATGGCAATGCAAAATAGATGTTTTAATATTCACAATGTTTTAGGCTGGGATGTCCTTTCTCTGGTGATATTAAACTGTAATGGAATAGAATGTTTGATATCACAAGGATTATCAAATGTATAACGTTCAAGATTAACATCATGCAACAAAACTAATGGTGATATTAAACTGTAATGGAATAGAATGTTTGATATCACAAGGATTATCAAATGTATAACGTTCAAAATTAACATCATGCAACAAAACTAATGGTGATATTAAACTGTAATGGAATAGAATGTTTGATATCACAAGGATTATCAAACGTATAACGTTCAAAATTAACATCATGCAACAAAACTAATGGTGATATTAAACTGTAATGGAATAGAATGTTTGATATCACAAGGATTATCAAATGTATAACGTTCAAAATTAACATCATGCAACAAAACTAATGTAGCATACACGTGAAATACTGGCAAAAATATTTTTAAAATAGGATAATGTATATATTTAATATGATTATAAATGAAAATAAGAGTCCGAATAGGAATAAGAATCAAAAATAAGTTTGAATTATATTTTAAAGTTTTTGAAAAAATGTCAATTATATTAGGTAAATTAGGTGATTTGCATGTCACATTTCTAAAGTTTGAAACATAGCTAGTGCTTCGAGGTCTTACAAAAAAAAGTAAATTACCAGAAGAAGGTCATCCCAGTGTGAAATGTTGTGAATATCAAAACATCTATTCTGCATTAGCCATTTTTTTCATCATACTACAGTGGTTTTTTTAGCTGATTTTTATTTGAAAGAGTAGGCATTCTCTAATTGATGTAAACAAAAAATATCACCCCCCCCCCCCACCACACACACACACACACAC